GGCTTATAATAATCTGCCAAAGTCTAAGCCGTGAGTTTTCAGTGTCATTAATTTATGCAAAAGCAACAGCAAAGACCAGGTTCTTTTTTTTTTGGAACATATGTCTTTAATATTGTATGGGAGCTGCATGTACTTGCTCCTGTATTAAGTGACAAATTCAGCTGTCTAGGGAGCAAGTACTTGCTCCCGTGATGATTAGCCCAATTTCAAGCCCTGTGTAATGATACTACTTATTTGCTCAGCTAGACTCCTGTTGATACAAGATGCAAGCTTTGCCCTGATTGTGTAATAGGTACTCTGATATACAGGTTTTAATAAGGGAATAAACATGTGCTTGACTGGTCTTATTGCCAAATACATGTACATGTATACAGATGGCATGAAATACATGGACACTGACTCGGAGGTTTAATTTTACATTTTGCACATGTATGGCCAGAGCAGGTTTATTTTCGAGTCAGACAATATGATTTGGTTCCTGGTCATTGTGTCCCTGCTGAACAACGTAACATGATATTTGTGCTAGGAACATGTTCCCGGTCATTACCGGTATGCCTCCTGCAAATTTTGGAGAAATCAGAAATTTTACATGTAAATACTGGATAGCTGAGTTATGAAAAAGCAGTTATCCGGATCTCTGGTGTTTGTTACCCTTCTAAAAGCATGAGCAAATCACAATCCACATTTAGCGGCAGCTGGTGTGGTGCGTGTTCTATGAACTGCACGGCGTCATGTGTAAATATTATTTGTACTCCATGAAAATTAAATCACAGTGTCTTTTCAATTTGTCTAGTTCAGATCTGCCATAATTGTCACTAAAATAATAATTTCGTCAAACATTGACGGAATTCAGGCAAACATGACTTTTGGGACAAACTGTCTTAACCACATTTTTGTAAAATGGTGGGTGTGGCCAAGTACCTGTGGGAAATAATTGGTTCTTCGGAATTCCACTGCACTTCATGAAAACGAACAGCCTTTGATCCATTAAAGCAACTCCAGTCTTATCATAAATTTTAGTGATGAGTTGAGTCATCGATGACTATGACAATTTCCCAAGGATGCAGAGACGAGTGAGTTACGTGTAATTTCTTAATTCCCTTAACCACTTCCTGCCGGGGACGCCGGAATCGGAGACGTATGGTTTATATGCGTGGCCGGGGTCTCTNACCGACATTTTTCACTCTAAAAAGTGGTTATAATCCAGCCTTGTTTTGAAACTGTATACCAGGGTTTGGTGCATTGAGAGCGAGCGGATTACCACCGGGGACAAAAGCGCTCCACCACCGCAGCGATGAGCCACACATCACTGCTGCATGCTAATCTGGCCCTTATTGAAAAGAGGTCAGCAGTGCACTGAGCCAGGTTCGTGAACAAAAGACAGTTATTCCACACCGCACAATCTGGGCTCTGTTTACAAGGCTGCTGGCATCAACGAAGGTTACCTGTCAACTTAAAGTAGTGCCTAAAGATTACTTCATGCGGCTATAAACGACCGTTAAATGAAATGATGAATTTTTGAAGGATTTTGAAAACGGAAAAAATGATAGTCATGCCACCCCAGAAACATCAACATTGAAAAATGCCCGACATGAAGTGGTTAATTCCACTGGATTTGTACTTGGGTGGTCACATGTCATACTCATAGTCCAAATGAATAATAGATGTTTGCTGTTTTGGAATATGTGTATTCTTCCATCTTTTTTCCCTTGCCACAGCGCTGTATTTCCAACAGTTTGCGCACCATTTTTGCCAATTCGTTGGTTTGCACAGATTTCATCATGTTGGCATCGGGCATCACTGTCCTTAATCATCCGGCCTTCTCCGTCTTGAACCATTCCTCAGCCTCTGCAACAATCTTCACAGCTTCGTCAAGCGTGGATGGCTTCCCTTGGAATAGTGCCCATTTGTGGTCAATGTTGTCCAGCACGTTCTTAAAGTGTTCAATTCCAAAATCTTTCATAAACTTCGAACTGCTTTTGGGGTAGGCTCGGCAGACCAATTTTCTGATGGCTTGACCCAACTCGGCAACAGTCTCCCTTCCTGTCAAGAAACATGCAACTTCCAGCATTTGGCCTTTCAGTGCAACCATTAGATAGTCTGCTCTCTGCTGCTGATTCCGGCAGTTGATCCTGCTGACTCTTTCGAAGTGCACCAGGTAGTCTTCAGTGCATGACGACCTGTCTTACTCTCAAGCCTTTATCTGCAGTGTTGCTGCACTGCATTCCATGTTTGTGTGCTGCCCAACCGCAGAGTGGTATTAGTGTGCAATGCCCTGTGCCTGCCCACATGATGAAGTTTGCAACCGCTGTATGCCTCAGTTGGGTAGTACGCAGATTAAAGGTAGCCATAGCAGTGCTCATCACTGTCAGACTCGCTGCACGCCACCTCCACTGTTCGCGAAGATCCTGCACTAGTTTCTTTTGGTGCCTCTGCAAGCATTGTGATTTTCGTCACCTCCTGCTATCATCCTTGAAAAAGGGGTCTGGTGTCTCTGATATGTACTTGTAGCTTTGTTGTCTTCCAGCTCTGGATGTGGATCCACGAGTAACTCAACAGCTGTCCAAAAGTGACTGCTCTAACTTGTTGATCTCAGTGGAAGTATTGCTAATGGCTTCCGCGACATTTCGTGCTGACTCCACATGTAGCTGACCATACTTTTCCATTGAAAAGCCAAGAAAATTATCACACCGCTGTCCTCCAATTTAGTGAAATGCAAGCAAAAAGGGACACAGTTGACTCAAGGCTTTGAACTCCGAAAATGAACTTGGTTCTCTTTTAATTCTCCCCAAGACTGGCTCATGGCTTCCAAAAACACAACTCAATTTCTAAGCATACAAATACACAATGTCTGGAAAAGTATAGATTTGTAACAACTTAACCAGGCCCTGGAATCTAGCCAAACCCTCTGTCCCAACAAAAGAACCCCATTGAAGTGGTCTATTTATAGTTACAGTAAACTCTGACTTAGTCGGCATTGTGTAACCTGTCATATTGTCCAAGTCGGCCGTTTGAGAAATCCTGATTGTCTGTAATGCATTTCCTTTGAAAATTTTATTTCTGAGTTGGCATTAATAGGTCGTCATTTCATATTAGTCGGCATGTTTTTCTCGGTCCCTTTTCCACCAAACCACAAAAATTCCTTTGTGTAAGCCTACATTAAAAAAATTATGTTTGGTATCATTTTTCTTCACCGCGGTTGCCAAGAAGTGTCAAGTACCTTGTGCGCGGCCAGCATGTGTACATATACATAAATACCAGTAACCCCTCTAGTGCTACATGCATGTGCTCTGTCCGTTTTGGGGGTTGCCTTATTGAACGTAGTCTGGTTCCCTGCCCAAAGATTGCCTGACGACCTTTCATAATGATTCGTCGGATAGTCAGAATCATTGGCTTTGGTATCCAGACTATATTGAACGAACTTAACCAATGCGTGTATGTGGATGAGTATATGCTTTTTGTACTGTAACTGTATCACAGACATGTACATACATGTACTGCACTGTCGAGTCGTGATGTGATATGCAAGTGGTTTGCTGTCCTTGCTTCATACTCAGGGGCACATGATCAATTATTGAATTTGCAGCCTGCGACTTGTGGCTTTTCTTTAAAGTTTGATCACATTGGTGTATCCACCTGGGTGAGGGGAAGACGGCAACTTGCCTTGCCTCTGGTGGTATTTTGCTCTCTTTCAGAAAATGGAAACTCAAAAAAAGAGAGAGAACAAATTACCCATTCACCCACACCGCAAAGCAGTTTGGTCAATTGTTAGTAATCGGTGATCAATTAATCGTACAAATGAGAGATCATGAGATTTTTTTTTTTTTCATTTTCCCCCTAACTTTTGAGAAACGTGGTGCTGTTTTCATGCATTTGTTTGAAGCTTTACACAAAAACCCAATGGCTTTCAAAATGTCAAAGTGAAAACATTGTTCTGATTTCTTGATAGTTAGGATTTCTGATTATTCTCATATTTCCATCTGTTTCGATTTCCTGATAGTACAGTTTATTTAGTGCAGTTCATTGGGGAACATGGTATTTCAGACTTTCAACACTTACATGTACATGTAGTCGTACCATTTTGTAAAAATCAATACAACAGGGATGGCATAGTTCTCGTAACATACAATACAGTGTCAATGATTGTCCAAACTTTCACAAAATGCAATATATATTGTACATGTATAACAGGTGAATCAAAAAAGTCCATCATTCCATTGCTAACCTACATGTATGAGTTATCTAGTTGTTACGCTGTGCAAAATAACTCATAACTGCCATTGCCAGCTGCAAGTCATCTTGTAGGTTTTTTTCCATAGAGTAATTAGAAATGAACACACAACAACAGAAAAACACCACAAATGTACATGTACATGTACCTAGTAAGTATGCACGTGTGTGTACAAAGCTTGGCAAATGGGATCACCCTGTGAAATTATGCACGTCAGTCAACGTGTTAAAAGCCCTAAAAAATCACTGTGTGTTATTTTCATTGTTTAAAGCCTGTCTGATGTATGATTGATAGATTTCTCTTTCCATGTTTCTCATCCCTTGTGCCAGTAATATGGAAAAGCTCCTGACAAAAAAGAATGGAAGCCGAAAATTCTAGCTTGATTGACAGCAATGGCTTCACATTAATGGCATGAGGACTGTGTGTTGTGGGAAAACATTGACATTGGTTTTGACATTGTATTTTTAAATTTCAAAAATGTTAAATGTCCATTTATTTTCAAAATAAACATGGATTGTGGAGAGGCATTGGTACTGCAATATCAACATATTTTTTTTAAGGAATAAATACATCTAAGCACCAAAATGGTAGTTTGAGGACATTATCAATTAGAGCTTTTGAACAGATAGAATTCTATCATTCAGTCCAGTATTATTAATCTATCTTACTGATTGTTGCTCATATGTATTTAAAAATGTCTGGCAGAACAATGTTTAACATTTTAGATTGTTTTTGGTAGTAACAATAATTCTCTCTGTTCACATTTTAGTCTCGTATAAGTCGTCTTCCTGCCTATTTACCAATTCAAATGGTGAGATTCTACTACAAGGAGAAGGAAGCCATTAATGCTAAGATCTTAAAGGTCAGATACAAGTTTCTGCTGTTTGAACTTGATGTCATTTCCAATAGTTTTGATCAGTCAGTCCTCTGTCTTTAGGTCTGTTGCCCATGCTATACTTATCTTGTTTATAAAAGGTGGTTTGGATGTTTTTAAATTTAGAAGGCGAAATTAGTTACTTTGTATTGGAGTTTTCAATTGCTATTCCAAACATTTGGCAAAAACTAGCATCTTGTTCTACTGTTTTTGCAGTGGCTAAATTTTGTTAAATGGTATTGAGTACCAAAGTGAATGTGTCACATGCACAATTATGTGTGTAAAAGAAATTATTGTGAGAACCAGCACGTCAACCCACACACGTACATTTGAAACCAAAGGTGCCATTCATTAGCATAAACAAGTACTGTATTTTTCCCCCAGGTGAAAAAAGGTGCACTCACTATGCTGGTTTTATTTTTGGATATTTGTTATACCATATTTGTCACCAGAAATCACTTTTACAGTGAGCATACACCAGCCTTTTGGGCTCTGTAAAAAGATTTTTTGTGTTTATTGCAGGATGTGAAATTCCCATTGATCCTTGATGTATTTGACCTCTGTACTAAAGAACTTCAAGAAAAGTTGATTCCAATTCGGGCCAAGTTCAAAGAGATGGAGGACAGAAAGGTGGAGGAGTTACAGAAGGTTGGTTACTTGTGGCTTCTCTTTCTTTGTTACTGAATACTTAGTTTACTCCTTTGATAAAAAACAAAGTTGTAGTGTTTCTAACAAATAATATCCTATCTCTCAAAAATATGTTTCATGATTAGTTGAAATATGTATTGTCAGCTTGAAAACAATACCTATCTTTTATTCAAGTACGTGTAGGTTTGACAATGATGATTTACTCGCTCACTGAAAAGATTAATTAATTTTGAATCATTTTTTATTTTAGTCCTTTTTACTTTCAAAGACAGTGCTATGCTACCAAAATAAACACAACAAGGCCCATGCAAAACATTTGTTGTAGCAGTTGTCTGATAAAGTGATTTTAAGTTGCTGATGCACCCGTTTCCAGCTCTGGTTCATTTAAATCCAGAGAAATGAAACAATGGATATTTTAATCAAGCACCTTTTAAGTAAATTTGTGAAAATGATATAATCAAATGAAAAACTTTCAAATATTCCCTGATCTGAAAATGATCCGGCAGTGATTGATAGACAATTGATAAAAAAAGTTTTACAAGGTATGTTTGCCACCAGTGGCACTAATTGATATTGGGGCTTTGGAATGCACTTGATCCTGGTCATTTCAAAGCCAGACATTCAGAGGACACTGACTGCATCAAACTTTTTCCATTAGCTTTCAATACCTGCCAGTATTATTTTCAGATTTGGTTGTGCAAGTGATGGTAGAGTGTTATCTAATTTTATCTTTTCATTGGTGGGTTGAATGTTTTTGTATGGCGAAAAGAAAAGCCCAATACAGATACAGACAATGTATTTGATGTTTCCTTTCAGTGGATGTCATGGTTTAGATCCAGCATGTGCATTTTTCTTAAAACTTAGAAATGTGGACAGACTGTATGTTCTGTTGCAAACTGACATACATGTAGTAGCTCTTGTTTTTTGTTACATTTGCTACTTCTAACGGATAACTTGCTTTAAAACTTGCGTCATTACTTCCATCTTGGTAAGAACTTACCACAACATTTGAAATCAAAATTTTGCATAATGTGCATTTGTGTTTGCCTTGAATTTAATCTTAGGCTAAGCAAACAGAAAAAAAGCAGCCAGCACCAGCTGTAGAGCAATCTATCAAGCTGCTACCATATGATTTTTCTGATGGTAAGTTACCAGTAACTGTTTGATATGTTAGGTTTACTGCTACACTGGAGTCTGAATCTTTAAAGGCCCCTCTTGAAGCATCTAAAATAATGGTACATTGTGTTGGGCTGTTTTTTGGGGGGGTAAAAAAAGGGCACATTTATTGCCAATGGGTAAGAGAAAGAGTGAACGGGAGGTGGTTTTGGGCCCCTTCCTTGACTGCCTTGCTCCGTGTTTCTTCTTATAGAGACAGTGACCATTTAGACCCAGTTTAAAAAGGGCTCCCTATCTTGTCCAGTGTAAAGCCAATCCAGTATTCATTGGGATTGTGGTTGCCCTCCTCAATTGCCATAGTGCCCTGAAAATGTGCACAATATTCATAGAAATTGCCATATCTGCCCAGACACATTTGCCTTTGATGCAAGTTGCACTATGAATCCATTCTAGATATCAGACATATTGATTGATCGTGATTTTACATGAAGCCATGCACAAATTACTTGGCTGTGGCTGGAATTTATGCACAAGTCTGTGGTAGTGGCCACAGATAAATCCCATAGATTCATGAGTAATTTGAAGTAGTGCTGCAGCCGAACCGCTGAACCAAACCAAAAATCATTGAACATGGCACTTTCGAACCAAACCGAACCGAACCAAACTGGGTGGTACGGAAGTTTGGCTTTAATATGGCATGGCTTTGCTAGCGCACAGAGTGCATGCGAGAAAACTTGATCAAAAAGCAAACACGATGAAAAATGGACAACGAGTTTGCTGCGCCAGCACTAGCGCTCAGCACATGTGCTTGCACATGTACATGTGCACACGCACATAAATGTACATGTACAATAAACTTACGGTGGCCTCGATGGTTGTAAAAAGCATGTGGTGAGAATTCACTAATAATCAACCGAGAACATGCAATGTATGGCATTTCCGCTGCACACCAATTCTAAATTCTCACTACATCCAATTGTGCTTATGTATATGGCAGGTTCCTCAAAGTATGGACCATTAGATAATGTTCAACTTTGGAGGTTCATTTTTCCTGAAGTGAACAGCAGTAAATTAATTTCCAATGTTTGATGTACTGAGGGAAGTCATGGCTGATATCTGGAACAATGATGACCATGTCAACCTTTCAACTTAATTGGAGTTAATTAATTAAAGTCGGGAATGTTAGCAATTTTAGGGACATGAACTCCCTGTTAAAATCCGAGCCAATAGAATTTACTGAGGAGTGATAATCCCTGAGGTTAGTTTTCACAGATTTATCTGTGGTGAAAGGTGATAATATTTACACATATTAATACCCTGATCACGAAATTAAAAAGTACCTCTCTTAATTAATCGGGTCCCGAAGTTGGCAGTCCTGAATGTCATTCAATTCTGTCGTTAGTGTCAAAAAATCGACTGCAAAAAAAGCGAGGAAAATCCATATGTGTGACCCGCTCTGTGAAAATGAGTCTTAAGTCGCCAGATCCACTTTTTGAGTTTTCATTTGTATTGGAAAGAGCAGATTGCATTTTCGTTTTGATGTATCACTCAGTTTGGCATCCTGATGAAAGTGGATACTTCAAGGTGACAAATGCTGTGGGTTGCTATTGATTCACATTGTGCAAAATTATTCTAAAAGACTTTATACTCCAATGTGGCTCTGGCGACTTAAGACTCATTTTCACTGAGTGGGTCACATATCGCTGTACAACACTACATGTAGCTTTAAAAAAGAGTGCAAAAAAGCACCGCCAAACCATCATCCTTTTACGACTGGACCTATCACATTTTCTTCAAGTATGTTCCTGAAAACCGCAGTCCAAAATACTGATCGTGGCGATTTTGTGGCTTCCATCAATGTTTCGCGGTGAGGTTAGAGAAACATTTCGCTGCATCGTGGCCTGTTTGATTTTTAACATCAACCCAGATAGTGCGCCCTCTTTTTTATTCGATATTCATGAACCCATCCAGGGAATGGCGACGCTCTGCAATTTTTCTCTTTGAAACAATTTTTCTCAAAATCCGTCATTCTGAATAACGTTTGCAAGAAAATAACTTTCAAGACATAAAATTCGATTCATGATGAAAATCTAATGCTCAAAGTTGTTAATTTTAATTTTATTTTCAGCAGAGTTATCTCCACAATAACCGGCAAAATGAAAAGTGCGCATGGAATTTTCGAGCACTACATGTGACAGTATTTTCGGCATTCTCGAACATTATGCAGTTTTTGTCAAAATTGCCGAATGTGATCAAAATTCTGTCAAATATGACGTTTGCAACAAACATATTGTACTCCTTATAAATTTTTGATGCAGCCAAACTTAAAGATAATTTTTGGTGGTCGAAATATACAAGACCTGGCAAATATGTTGGTATAGTGACAGTGATTATAAACGGTAAGAGAATGAAGAGAGCCAAACTTTTCTCATCATTTCCCGTCAATTTTGTGCTCTTTTTTTCGTGGCTTATATTTTTTAAAAGTTATTTCTTAGGTGCTTTAAAATAGTCGTCTGGTGTAAACACTTTGACATTAAACTTTAAATGAATTCAACTCCATTTGATTTGCACTGGTAGCCAAACAAATGTCCACTATAAGTACATATTATGCCTAATTATCCCCATATAATCATTTTTATAAACCTGAAGGTGCTAATTTGTATTTTACATGATCAAAGTCACTCTTTCAGAAGTTCTAAAAAATGACATCCAAAGTTGCATTTTGGTCCATTTTATGAAGGACATGCCATATTCGGATTTAGCGTTATGCTTGCCAATCTCTGATAGCCACACCCTTACTTTCCATGTTAGGCCAATGATGTCATAAATGGCCGTGCAAAACAAATTTTGTTTGGCTGCTGATCATAGACTCGTGCTTGATTAATGGCAACTCTGGAGGGAAAACTGATATTTCTAGGCAGGCTGGTGTAGCGATCTAGTGCACGACAAGATTTGGTTCGAGCGGTGGCCTAATTTACCTTTTGTTTGATCATGTTTGATCGAAGTTGTAGTGTGAATACGTTGTAATGAATTCAAATAATAAAATGGCGTTATCCATTCAAAAAAGGCTGATGGAAAATTGCCCCTTTGGCCACATGGGCACCATCCTGGGAAGGAATGCCGAAGGTTCTTTATATACATCTGTAGCTGGTAATCTAATCTAATCATGAAATCTAATTTCATGTTGTATCTTTTAAAGGTGGAAACTCCCATGCATGCTGGTTGTTTTCACGTATCCTACGATCGTTTTTGTTGAGTGAAGCGTGGTCCAAACACAGCTGCTTTTGGTCTGTAAAACCGGTCGGAAACTGTCACACCTCCAAAAGTAACTTGTTAGGGAATTTTAACTGTCGCCTGTGCGGCCGTCGGAGTTCCTTTTTGTCGATCTGGTTGGGAGGTGCTCTCCTGTGTTGGGACTGCGACAATAAATTTATTGAATCCCCAGATTCGTTAGGTTGAAATATACAACCAGGTAGTTAAACTTAACACCTCAAATCAGGACGGTGGAGGGAAAACGATGGTTGGACAACTTTGTAATGTCAACCCTGCTCGTTTTATTCGCATATTTAAAACAGCACATCTTCAACAGTTCTTTAATCTTTAGTTCCTCTATTTACATGAAATTCATTACTCTGCCGAAAAATTGTAGCTCTCTCTAAGTGTGACTCAAGTTCTACTAATGCTGCTCCAGTACATTTCTCTAATTTCAAATACTATGTCGGTAACCAGCCCTGCTGTAAATACTATGGTAGATTTCTATAACTTCAGCTACTGCGTCAGTAACCAGCCCTGCTGCAATTACTCTGGTAGATTTCTATAATGGCACCAGCTCCTTCCTGAATTGCCAATACCCACTTTATTACTCCGCCAGTTTCAACTGTACCTAGTCTATGTGATCTCTCCGTGTCACCCGAGTCGCGTGAGTCACTGCCGTCGACCCTAACGTGGAGTATCACAATTTATTGCGGCGACTTACTAACATAACTTTTCCATTCATTATTTACAAGCCATATCACAAGCATTCAATATCAGAAAAGTCGTTTCATAAATATATTTGTGCAATGCAACCGGAGTCTTTGCTAAATACGTCATCACATTCTTCAAGTTTAGTCGTGAGGCTTCAAGAAATCATCATGTGTAACGGATATTAATTATGCAGTGACAGATGTCGTTCAAAATTAATTTAACATCAATCTGGAGACACTCTAAATCATTACTAAGCAAGAACTACCAGACAGGAAATGTGCCTTGGAGATCTTTAGTAAACAAAGGACAAGAAAGTTTCTTATCTAACATGGAGTATCACAACTTATTGGGGCAACTAAAGTGAGCACGTCATGTTCGTATTTTTTATATTCTCCCGCCCTGCGTCTAATAATTCTTTTGGGTTCGATAGTTGTTATCACATAGCAACCTTACGGTGGCGCTCTTATGCATTTCCCGTCGTATGACTTAATAGCCAAAATTATCTCTTTAGAACCAACTTAAATGCAAAATTATTCCATCGCATGAAGGTGAGAACAGTGAATTAGGAGGATCAATTAATCAATGTTCGGAGTTAATCATGTTTTGCTAGATGACGTCACACGTCCAACAGCTTCTGTTGCTATGCACACTGTAGATACTGGCTTATGACATGTGGACTCTTTAGGCATAAATCATACATTGATTACGGCTATGTACAGATAGTCAGCGATTATAGTGCACCAAGGTTTTAACAGTAGAACTTGCTTGAGATCTAAGTGGGACTGACCATACTCCCGGCATCATACAACTCGTAAACAAGTTTTGGGAAACAGTTTGGAAAAAGTTCTGTTCACATCAAAGTTGCTCATGGAAGGGGATGGAGAGGAGATTCATTGCTTGTATTAATGTAGTTTATACACGGAAGTACTATATACGGCACGTTCGTAGGGAGCTCTTTGATGTCTCAATATGCATTCTACACGTACATGTACATGTGTGAACATGTCCAAACCGGAACCGAAATTCGGCAAAAATTTCCGAACCATGTCCAAACTGAACCC